AACAACAACAACATCCATAAACAGGGAGCTCTGGGGCCTAGTGGCAATCTGGTGGTACTGCAATCCCAAAGGCACACAGTTTGAGGCCACCGTCTGCTCCGTGGGAGAAGGATAGATAATCTCCTCCCATGTGATTAACTGCCTCTGAAAACCTGCTGGAGGATTAGCTATGGGTCATTTCCAACTCTATGGTACACAACAACATCCATGAACAGCAGACATTTTTTATTTATTTAGGTCTTTTCTTGTTTCTCGCAGAAGTGTTTTGTAGTTTTCTTTGTAAAGTTTTTCTGTGTCTATACTTATGTGTCATAATTCGTGGTGGGCCATTGTAAATGGTATTGCTTCCTCTTTTTTTATTGAAATTTTATTGTAAGTTTATAAACTTGGATAATTCCATTCATTCATTGTTGAACATTTTCCTCCCTGTGGTATTTTCTTATTTTCCTTCTCTGTGTTATCTTTGTTACTGTAGAGAAATCCTACTTTCTTTTGTATGTAGATCTTGTATCCTGCCACTCTACTAAATTGGTCTGCTAACTCTAATAGTTTTTTGTTGAGTCCTTGGGATTTTCTGTGTACACCATCATATCATCTTCCCATAGCAACAATTTCACCATCTGTGCCAATCTAGATGCCTTTTATTTCCTTCTCTGTCTGTACTGCCCTAGCAAGTACTTCTAGTACAATTTTTAAAACTTTATAATTTTAATTGTTATTTTGATGAAAGTTCACAGAAAAATGGAATTTTCATTCATTCATTGTTACATATTTTTCTCCCTTCCCCCCTCCCCAGGTACACCTTTTTTTTAAAAAAAATTCATTCATTATTGTACAGTTTCCTCCCTACCCTCCCTTTACTATCCCCACCCACAGTCCTCTTATTCTACACCATTGTCTTACATATAATACCTAATTATATATATATTCCTTTTAACCAGTTTTCCCCTCATCTATTCCAATACAGTGTTCATTATCTATCTACTCTTTTGCTATTCTCCTCTCAGCCCCCCATGTCAGACCCGCTTTATAACAGTGGCGCTATGCAGTATTTGTCCTTTTGAGACTGAGATATTTTACTCAGCATTTTCCTCCAAGGTCACCCATATTGTGTAATGTTTTACAAGTTCATCATTTTTTAGTGCTGAATACTGTGTTTCAATAAAATACTAAATAGGAGTAGTGACAGTGAGCATCCTTGTCTGGTCTGGCAAGTTTGTTGTTGTTGGTTTTTTGGTTTTGGGGGCTTTTTTTTAGAAATATAAGGTAGAGTAAGTTTCTAAAGAGTATAAAGAAACCCTAAATGAACAAATATAAACTTGTCATGTTGTTGTCAGGTGCTGCTGTTGAATTCTAGGCTGTAGTCTTTATGGGAGCAAATCATCAGGTTTTTCTTCACCAGAGCCACTGGGTAGATTCAAGTTGCCAACTTTTTGATTAGCAGTCAAACGCTTAAGCACAGCATTACTGGGGCTCTTTAATAAGCATATATATAACTAAAATACATAATGTATCATATTCTGTTAAGTATCATCCAGAAAAATAAGTGAATATCCTAGGTTAGAGCAAAAATCCATTGTTAATTAGTTTATTTCAGCTCATAAACTTGCCATAAATTCATAAAGTAATTGCAACCAGAAATAATATAGGACAGTTTTTCATTCTTTCCTGGCATGACTTTACAATGCCATACACATAATAAACTTTACATTGGAGATTTTGTCACCATTTGGTTTTCTACCAAACTCTCTTATAAAATTAAGAGTCTACATTTGTACCCAAGGAGTGATTATATAAAGAAAGCTGTTATTACTTAGCTCTGACTTTATAAACAGGGTATGAGAATTTTTAGTTTTGACCATTCCCACTTCATGAAAAGTTTTCAGCTTTGAAGTGAATTAGCTTTCTTTGAGCATCAACTGTTGTTGTTGAGCATCAATTAGAATATAAAAATGTCCCATTATAATGAAATAATTAATTATCATACAAGTGCCTACAGCCCAAAACTTGAAACAATTGTTACGGTATTGTTTTGTTCTCTGATCACTAGGAAATATTCCCAAGAAATTGAGATTTGATACTAATGTATTTTGGACTATTTGGTTTTCTGATTGCTTTGTTGCCATACTGAAAAACACACTATCAGAGAACCTAAAAATCTATGTATAGCTTAGAGTGCAAACTATGAGCTCTGCAATCAGACTGCTTCAGTTGTTCTTTAGCAAGGAAGTCAGAGTAGAGCCTCCTTCATAAATTTGAGAAATAAATGAGAGCTTGGTGGAAGGTGATTGGTCTCATGCCTGCCACAGAGTAAGCTGTATATTAGGTCATTTAATATTTTGTTCAGTGCTAGTACTGGAGGAGCCCACACTCATGGCATAGGCTTTTTAGGTTATAGTGAGAAACAGCATCTTCTTCATAGAAAAACATTCATTTTAAACCCAGTATATCTCCAGGGAAAAAGCCGGGTGCAATTACCAACTCATTTTTTTTCACCATCAACCCCTCCCTTCCCCTTTTCTCCAGTTTCTTAGCTTAACAACAACTCTGATTTTCCAACAACATAAATAAGAACACAAGAGTGAATGAGAGTTGTTGGAGACACAGTCAGGCAGCCATTCACTATCTTCTACCTATTGTTGTTATGTGCCACTGAGATGGAAAAACTTACAGCTGACCCTTCAGCAGGTTTTCAGAGGCTGTAAATCACACAGAAGGAGACTGTCCATCCTTCACAAAACAGCTGGTGAATTAGAACCTCTTGATTCTGGGTTAGCAGTGTAACTCCTTACCCACTGGGCCACCAGAGCTCCTCCACTCACAACTACCTTCCTTTAAACTAACTCATTGATAAAAATCAGATACTATTTTAAATTCTTTCCATTCTTAACCCAATGTACTAGTAATTTAATTATCGGTCTTTAGATTTCATCTTCTAGTTTTAAGTCTTATACTTCTTAATCACTTTTCTATAGGTATTCTAAATGTTAAGTGTATATGGGGGTGGTGCATGGAAAAAAACTTAGAGAATCTGATTAAATGTAAGACTTGCCAATATAAATGCACATAACACATCTACACCAAATACTTCTGTCTGTAATATGAGTAGTTTCAAACATCATAAAACAGCAATAGAGGTAAGTCCATGGACCCCAAGTTAAGAATTTGCCTATTTCTAATAAAATATAAAATATGACCCAGCAATTCCATTTATGAATATATCTTATACAGTCACTTTCCTACATGTGTCCAAGAATTTATAAACAATGTTAATTACATAATTGTTTGTAAGGACAAAAGATTTGAAATAATGTTTATGTCCATCAACAGAATTTGATAAACTAGAATGGTATGTAACCATTAATAAGTTAATTCTAAATGTATTAACTTAGTTACATTTCAAAAGCGCAAAACATAATTTTCAGGTTGATATGTACAGTATGTTACCATTTAAATAAAGTTTTATAAATTGTAAAAATGTATGAAAGTCTAAAAGCTTTCATGAGCATGATAAAACCCAAATCTATGGAAATAGTTCTTTCTGATAGTGGGATTAGGGAAGGAGCCTCAATCTTATCTGTTTATTAAAATACTAAAAAATAATCTGAAGCAAATATATCGTAATGTTAGCATTCAATAAGACTGAATGATCAGCACTTTTTTTTTATTATTCCCTGGAGCAGTCCATACAGTTTGAATATGTCATGATTTTTAAAAATCTTTTTAGAATCTTTAGTGAACAAAAATATAACAAATTCCTCTCCTCCATCTCAATACTTATCCTCAGATAACAAGTTGTATGCTGTTTTCAATGTGTTTGATGATGAATCAACCTCCTGTACCTATCAAGAAGGCCTCCTGTCAATGAAAGTAACGAGAAAAGGAGCAGTCATTTGTACACTCGATGCTGATTGGCTGGAGTTAACTACATTTTATTATAAGCAAGGCTTGTCTCTAATTGATTCTTTTGTATGCTGGGAAGCATCTAAAGGTAGGTTTTATTGTATGCTATGTTTATATCTAAAGAATTTTATGTCAAAAATATTTTTATCTATTATAAAATGTTTTATGTTCAATGGCTAAAAAGTGATATTATTCTTAAGGAAATAAGTTCATATCATTGCACAACTGTGTAGCATTAATTTAAAAGCTTAGCCTGATTTACTGGCAAATAGAACACCTAGTGTGTGTGATATAATCATTGAGTTTTCAATTGGATTGTAACTGTCAAGCTTAGACAACCACTATGTGATCCACAGATAGAATTTTCCAAATAAGATTTGTTATAGCAGCCTAATCCATGAAGCACTGAGCATCCCATGGACGGCCAGAAGAACAAACAGATACGTCTTAAAGAGGGTGCAGCTGGAATGCTCTCTGTTGGCAAGAATGATGAAGCTTCACCTCACATACTTTGGGCATGTTGCTAGGAAGGGCTGTTTCTTGGACATGGACATGATATGGGGAAGGGTTCGGTGAAGGAGAGGAAGATCTTCAACCAGGTGGATTGACATGGTGACTGCTGCAACGGGCTCTAACATGAGGATGGTAGAGGAGAGAAGAGGGCTCAGATCTTTTGTTCATAGGGTTGCTTGATGGCACCTAACATCAACAACAATTCATGAAGCTGATGATTGCATATACCAGTTAACATCCTATTATTTTATCCCAGTTTTGGACATTACCTCTCATTTTTTGGCATGTAGTAGTTGTTCAATAAATATTCCTTGGTCTTTTTCCGTGACTGGAGCTTTTTCCAATTCAGTCTTTTCTGTAAGTTGCTCACCCATGGCCACTGAGTTAGAACTGACTCTTAGATGAGCCTCTAAGGGGTTGTAAATTCAGGGGATGAGACTGCTCATCTTTCTGCTGAGGGACCACTGGATGGATTCCAACCACCAGAGGAGGTAGCAGTGCAGCTCCCTACAGACTACAACGTGTGAGCTCTCTTCTATGAAGTAGCAGTAGAAACAGCATAAATTTTAGAATCAGACAAACCAAGGTTTAGTTCTCATATCCTCTACTTATTAACTGTACAGTAGTAGGAACTTGGCTGAACTGGAGAACATGTTTCTTTAGCTCTAAGAGGGGGATTAAAATACTACTCACTTTGTTGTTAGGAGAATTTAATGGCCTAATATGTGTAAAGCAACTCTCACACTGCCTATCATACACTTGGAGTTTATTGAAAGTTGATTTTTCCAGCCGCTTGTTAGGTGTCTTTCCAGTGCTTTTCGCATGGATCCTCCATTTGGCATTCAGGTGGTGCTTCTTAGGATTTCTCTCTTTCTCTTCCTCCCCAAAGAAGCTAAGTTGGAGCCATTTCAAATGTTGGTTTCTGACTAACCGCTGAATGAATGAGGGGGCAGGGGATCTCCTTTCACAAGTCTTTTACAGGCAACTTTGCCTCGGGCCTTGCCTGATGAAAATAAAATTAGCTGCAGCAGTTGCCAGAGGAGCCTCTGAGAGACTTTTGTTCTTAAAGCCTCAGAAGCTATTTAAAGAGCCTGGGGGCGAATCTCCCCCTCTTCGCAGTTCTGGAATGTCTCATCAGACATTTCACATCTCAAGCTACACCAGGCTCTGGGGAGGTCTTTGGGGTCTGGCAGCAGGGTGTGTCATGAGGGACTTTCCTGGGAGGATACAGGGAAGCTGGAGGGGAAATTGTGACCAATGCTTTCTCACTGTGAGAGGCAAGTTAGAAGAAGCAAAGCTGAGTCGGCCACTTTGTTCTGTAATGTTTGGAAGACAATGCATATCTTGTTTTCCTTCTGTCTTCTTCCAAAATATTATCAGAAGCCAGCCCACCACAAGGAGTGAAGTCACAAAACCAGACAGTGATCAGAGCTTTAAATGTACCACTCAACAAATCTCAGTGAAATGAAATGCCTTTCTCCAAAGAGAGAAAAAGAAACCTCAAAATCCTTTGCTACTTCATTTGTATGGCCAAAGTTCTAAGGTCTATGACATTTCCTTTTAATCCCCTTTCTTACCCACTCTAAACAGCCTTTTTTCTGCTTTCAGAAGCCCTAAAGCAGAGGCAGCCAGCAGCCTGCTTGCTGTCCATGTAACCTGAACTCATAGGTCTGTGTTCCCCTGCACCTGATGTGCTCCCCATAGCTGGGACTCCACTACTCCAGCCTGCAATGCACTCTTAGTCCTGTGTTCCCCTGTACCTGATGCACTCCCCATTGCTGGGCCTCCACCACCCCAGTCTTACAGCTCCAGTTATTGCATCCTTTAGTGGGATTTGCACTGTGGGGTAAAAATGAATCCAGAAGAGACTGCAAGGAACTAATCCAACTGATAACAAAGGGAAAGGACTGTTTTCTGCCAGATTGAATGGAGCTCCAGCAGAGTGGCTAGTTGACCTGGGATGAGTTGAGTAGCTTTGCCAGCAGATGTCACACACTGAGGTTCTTACACTTCACCTGGTTACAAATTTTTCCACCACTTACAGAGCATATATAATCCCCACTTTAAATGAACCCCTTAAACTTATATTTATATTTTTATTCTTTTCCAATTTCCTTTTATATTGTCAACCTATTCATTCACCTCTGTAAGAATATTTTGTGTAATTAAGGGTTTTACTCACGCAAAGAATGGGAAGCCCAGAACACTTAATTATGTTCATGTGAAACTTATATCTAGACCAATAAGCTGTTGTGTCCACAAAATACTACATAGTTAAAATTAAGAAAGGTGTGCATCAGAGTTGTATCCTTTTTCCATTCCCATTCAATCTGTATACTGAGAAAATTATTAAAAAGCCTGGACTTTATGAAGAATAATGTAGCATTAGGACTGAAGCAAACCTCATAAATAACTTTCAGTAGGCTGATGACACAACCTTGCTTGCTTAAACCAAAGAGGATTTGAAAGACTTGCTGCAGAAGATGGAACAATTTAGTCAATATAGATTACATCTCAGTGTCAAGAAAATAAAAATTTTCACCCCTAGACAAATAGGCAACATCATGATAAATGGACAAAAGACTAAAACTGTCAATTTCCTCATACTTGGATCCACAAGCAATACACTCAGTACCAGCAGTCAGGACATCAGGGGATGGACTACACTGGGAAAGTCAGCTGTCAGGGACCTCTTAAAGTTACTAAGGAGCAATGATGTTAGTTTTCAATCACCTGTTATACATCTGAGAGCTAGACAATTAATAAAGATGACAGAATAAAAATTGATGCCTTTGAAATGTGGTGTTGAAGGAGAGTACTAAACATCTCATGGACTGCCAAAAGAACAAACAGATACGTCTTGGAAAAGGTGCAGCCAGCGTGTGTTTTGGAGGTAAAGATGGCAAAGTTTCATTTCACATACTTTGGGCATGTTGCTAGTAGGGGCTATTCTTTGGAGAAGGACATCACGCTTGAAAAGGTGGAGGGACAGCAAAGGAGAGGAAGATCCTCAAACAGGTATTGACACAGTGACTGAAGTTGGCAAAGGTTAAGTCAAGGTTCAGATCTGTTATTCACGGGGTCACTATGAGTCGTTTTTGACTCAACGACACTTAACAACAACAAATGGTGGAGGAAAAGTATATCAGAGTAAGGAATAGGATAATGATGTATAAATATTTTCTTATTCATATCATATATGTATATGCCTAGCACTGGGAATGAAAACAGTAAGAAAAAGGCAGGTTTCCCTATTTTCACAATACTGTTTGCCATAAACAAGTCAGATAGTAATGTCTTTCAACATATATGCTCAGTGTCAGGTATCAAAACACATATGCCGGAGAGATTTGGAGCCCCTTAAAGCAGGACAATGCCCAATTCCAGCAAGACGCAGCTAAAGAGGTCATCCTCCAAAACCCTAAAAGATTTTAGAGGCTCGATTTCTCCAGAGGGGAATGTTAGGATAAGAACCAAGGAGATGAGAAAGGTAGAAGTTTATGCTGGGGAAATTGAGCTATCAGAACAAGGAAGCAGATACTGACATGGGTAGAATTAGTGCTTTGAGCCCATGAGTGATGTCTGAAGCAGTGGATGCTTTAGACTCTTGGGCGACATCAAAGACAGAACCGCCTACTGAACTTTGAACTCTTCATGACACTGTCTCATTGGCTCAGACTCCAGCCCCAGGGCACATCCAGAACAACAGCATATATACCCCCTCACCATAACTGCATGTTCTCTCCTCCGTTATTCGTCTGAGGATGGTGAGCCCATGACTTGTATAGATGTATTCTCTCTAAAAAAAAAAAAAAAAATCTCCATTTTTTTACACTTAAAAAAAAGGCCCAAAACGTGTGCCTTGGTTTACAGTTGAGAAAAGGTGCTGTGGCACTACATAGCAGTGTTGTTTGCACAAGATAATAATAGGGAATACCCGTCCAGAGGGTGATCAGCAAGCCCTGAGAAGACAGAGAAGGAGACCAGCCAGGCAAGAGCCAGAGACCATTCTAGGCAGAAAAGGCCATTCCAACCACCCTCCAAATGCAAAGGGCAGAAAACAGGAACCAGGGGAAAGTTCTGTGTCACTAGAGAAGGAAATGTATGCCAGAGAGAACAGTTGCAGACAAAGTAAGAGCGAGGAGAAGAAGGCTCTAGAAAAGATGAGAAGGTTAAGCCACCGCCAATTCAGGCAGAGGCTTTTAAGACCAATTAATATTAATAACAATAACAACAACAATAGGTATTTTGCACTTAATATATACCAGCCCTGATTTTATGTTTATTAACAAACTTAACTACAGAAATCCTAGGATGTTGGTATTATCCCTGTTACAAATGAGGAAGTTGTGACACAGAAAAATTTAAAAAATGTTCCCCCATTCACAATGGTGTGTTGATCATGGTCGTCCTTTTTTCACTGACCCTCTACTTTTCCAAGGCTGATGGATGTCTTTTTCTAAGGACTGGTGCCTCTTGACAACATTCCCAAAGTATGTGTTTGCCATCTTTGCCTCTAAGTACACCCCAGCTGGGCTTCCTCCAAGACAGATTTGTGTATTCATTTGAAAATCGATGGTATATTTAATACCCTTTACCAACATCACAGTTAAAAGCATGAGTTCTTTAGTTTTCCTTATTCATTGTCCAACTTCCACATATGAAACAATTAAAAATGTCATGTACTTCCACATATGAAACAATTTAAAATGTCATGTCTTGGATCAGGTACACCTTAATCTTTAAACTATTGTCATTGCTCTTTAGCACTTTGAAGAGGACCTTGCCAGCAGATTTTCACAATGCCACACGTCTTTTGATTTCGTGACTGCTAAACTCTCAAAGGTGTTGATTTTTGAATCAAGTAAAATTAAATCCCTAAAAAAAATATATGGTACAGTATATTAAGCTTAGGTGTACAATTAATGTATAGAAAACAATAATTGATGACATAGGACATTTTCAACATCCCAGAGGCCCCCTTGTACTCATTTCAGTCAGTATGTTCCTAACAGAGAAGTAAGCACCACTCTGACTTCTGTCATTTGAGATTAGTTTTTGCCTGTTCTCAAATAGGTGGAATTATAATACCCCACTAGGTCTAACTTCTTTAGTTCAACATTGTTTTTGTGCCATCAAGTTGCCTGTGACTCATAGCAACCCTATGTACAACAGCCCTAAACCGTCCTCCTATCCTGTGCCAATCTCATTGTCTCCAACACAACCACCCCATTACCCCAGTCACTAAATCAATCCACCTCATCGAGGGTCTTCCTCGCTTGCACTGTCCCTCCACCCTCCCAAGCATGATGTCGTTCTCCAAGGACTGGTCTTGCCTTGCAGCATGTCTAAAGTATGTCATACATAGCTTCAGAATCCTTGCCTCCAAGGAGCAGCCTGGTCTCACCCTCCCTAGGGTGATCATGTTTGTTCTCCTAGCAGTACATGGTATATTCAGTACTCTTCTCCCACACCACAGCTCAAAGGCATCAATTCTCATTATATCTTCCCTAGTCATTGTCCAGCTCTATGATGAATAGCAAGTAATGGCAAAGACCATGGCCTGGATCAGGTGCACCTTAGTTTCCAGACTGACATTGTTGCTCTTCAGTACTTTGGAGAGGTCTCTGACAGCCGACCTTCCCAATGCAATCCATCTTTTAATTTTCTGACTGCTGGTACCAAGAGTGTTGATTGTGAGACCAAGCAAACTAAAGCTGTTAAGAATCTCAATCTCTTCACCATCTATCATGATGCTGCCAATTGACCAAGTGGTGAGAATCTTTATTTTCTTGATGTTGAGCTTCAATCCATATTGAAGGCTGCACTCCTTGATCTTCTGCAACAAGCACTTCAGATCCTCCTCATTTCAGCAAGCATACTATCTCTGAAATCCATTCCTGTGTTATATATATAGCAAAGAGTCTTTTTCCCCAAACACTTCTGTAGTGTTCTATATAGGAAGCTCTGGCAGCTTACTGGTAAGGAGTTCACTGCCAACTCAAAGCCAGGGGGTTCAAATACACTAGCTTCTACATGAAAGAAAAATTAGCAGTTTACCCATGTGATTTACAGCCTCTGAAAACCCACTGGAGGGTCAGTTGTTAGTCAGCTCTAACCTGATGAAACATAACAACAACATAGTTTTTATTGTATGATCCTTTCATATTCTCTTTCTTTTAAATCAAAACAAGTCCAGGAGTTCTAGTGAGCCCCAATGATGAAAACACAGAGCCTATAAATTTCACATTATATCATTCCAAAATAAATAAGAGGCAGATCATAACAAACTATGTAATTATCACAATACATAATTATTTTTCTAATCTATACTTCCCATTCTATCACAGCTCAGGGAACTCTGGTAACAGTGGTAAGGAGTTGCTCTGCCAATCTAAAGGCACACTGTTCGAACCCATTAGCTGCACATTCTGAAAAAGAATTTAGAACATGCATAGCTTTGAAGATAGTCTAGTGATACCCTCAAATGACAATCAGAAACTGATTTGTTTGACTAGTCACTTTGGTGTAGTAGTGGATGACAAGCACATTTGAAGGATATGGGACAATTTCCTGTATTTAGAAAACCAATTCCTGCTAGTGAATCAAACTTTACAGAGCCGTTAAGGACCCCTCAGAACAACTTAAATTCTTCATTATATTCAGCCTGACCATGAATAACTTAAGAAGAAAACAAACTTTTTTTATCCTACACAATGACCAAGGAGGATAGAAGGAGAATTGATGCCTTTGAGCTGTGGTGCTGGAGAAGAGTATTGAGAATACCATGGACTGCTAGGAAAACAAACAGATTTGTCCTGGAAAGGGTTAAACCGGGTGGCTCCTTGGAGGCAAGGATTCTGAGGCTCTGTCTAACATACTTTGGACATGCTGTGCGGAGAGACCGGTCCTTGGAGAGGGACATCATGCTTGGGAGGGTGGAGGGACAGTGCAGGAGAGGAAGGCCCTCTATGAGGTGGATTGATTCAGTGACTGGGATAATTGGGATGCGAGTGTCAGAGACAGTGCGATTGGCACAGGACAGAACGGAGTTTAGGGCTGTTGTACATAGGGTCGCTATGAGTCGCAGGCGACTCGATGGCACATAACAACAACAACAACCACCACCTCACAGTTATTGCCTGTTAATAAAAATGAAAATGGGAATTGTATGTTGAAATTACTTATGCCTTTTGTAATCTTTAAGAGATCTTTTGAAACTCTTAAAGGCCTTCATTATTTAGAGACGTGCCAGCTAGGAAAACTAGGTGTGACACTGTGCTGTATAAAGCCAGCATGTTTCACCAGCACATGACCATGGAAAAGCTGTCTACTATTACAAAATAGGAAACAAAAGAATTTCCATAACATCATTGAAGTTTGGACCAGCTGGTTATTGTCAGCTTTTCAAGAAACAAGTCAGAGAGGCCCTCCCATAAAACTTCCTTCCCAGCAGGAATTCTTTTGACAATAACTCTGGTTAGAGTCTTCCTGTCACCATTCTTTTTTTTAAGCTTTACTGAAGAATTGTTTCACGTTTATATACTTTGAAGTAATCTTACCTCATGTTAATTTTAATATTATACTCTCATTTCAAGTGTTATCATTTTTACATGTTGCTTCTCCTAAAGGTGTAATTATGTATGTAGAACATGTAGATCAGAAATGAAAAGTTTATTTCAAAGTGAAAGACATTTCCAATGCTTTTGAGGGTTTAGGGAATCCATTTGTTTCTCACTGTCTGTATTTTTTTTTTTTTAAATCTTCTTGGTTAGTTGTATTTTTTATTTATTTTTAATTCAATAAAGTATGACACTTTTGATGTTTTAAAAAAATAAAGTTAACCTTCAAAGGGAGGAGGATGTTATTATTTCAACCGAAACAAATGTTTATTGATATGGTTCTCTTTCTCCTTACTACTTGGGCTATTTAAGGATTTAGATTATTTTAAGAAACATTGAGTATTTATAACTCTTCTTAATTGTATCTGTTTCATCACAGGGGACCACCTGCCCAAATCTTTGGAAGGATTATTTATCTATGAAGAGGAAGGTTCTAGAGTTCCAGGTTCTAGTAAGAAAGGAAATGATGCCATTGTAGTAGAACAATGGACCGTTATTGAGGTAAACTGCACTTTCCTATTTCTCAATATTTTATGTTAAAAATTTTCATTATTTAGTATATGCAATATCCTCAATATAAACTTTTTTTACTATTTAGGATTTTATTACACGTGTTCATTACATGTGTAAAAGGGTGCTTTATTTTACCCAGTATTAAGCATTTTTTAATAACAAGTGCGCCTGTGTGTGGGTGCATATACACACATACAAATAAATAGCAGTAGATTTTCAAAGGTTTGACAATGTCTTCTTGCATTAAAAATATCTTTATTCAGTATCCCCACAACTGATTAAAAATGGAAAAATTCCATCAGTCTAGTCTTTTATGTCAAAACCACCAATGTAACTGATTCTTTTTTCTCCTCTTAAGAATTTACTTTTAAAGGCAAAAATTTCCAGGAGGTGTTCTTTCTTTTACCAGGCCAAATATGTATAGACAGCATTATCCTTCATAGTCAGAGATGGCATTGGTGCTGATTTTGTGCATTCTGAATTCAGATGTCACCAAATGGACTGATCTTGAGGTGAACAGACTGAATTTAGGTATCCTCTGCTGTGTGTATGAAGCCCTCAGCCACAGGCTGTCATGGACACTTTTGCCTTTCTTACCTTATAAAGGAGCCCCTTTTTCAGAGGAAGTAGCAAACTCACTGGGGGAAGGAAGCAAAGAATTTGGAGGAGAGCTAGTGCTTCAAGTGGAAAATCTTCTTGCGAATGAATAGGCATAATCAAATGCTTTCTACATCTGAGTTCCACTTGACTTTTTACAACTTGTATTCCCTGATCTTTTCCTTTTCTTCTCCAACTAATGTTTCTTAAAATGAAGTCTATAAACCACTTAGATCCCGATCACCTGGGGAGTTCCTGAAAACTGTTTAAGAATCACAAGCCTAATAAGACTTGAAGAAAGTCCAGACACTGGGGAGCCTCTCTCCATTCTGCTCAGTGATTATAAGGCAGCAAGTACCAGAAAATTAAACCAAAGAGGACTGAAGTGCAGTAGGGTTAGATTTAATGGAGAGTGAACTCACCTTATTGTTGTGTTGATTGCCATTTATTATAATTACTTTGGTAGATGATTTGTTTTGCCATTAGTCTATAAGCTCTTATGCTTCGTTATACAGGGATGTGACATCAAAACGGATTATGGCCCTCTGCTGCACACTCTGGCAGAGTTCGGATGGCTTCTGACAAGTGTGTTGCCTACACCTGTACTGAAACATGACAGGTAACAAGAAAGTATCCTTACATGTTCCCATTTCATTCTAAAATATGCATTTGTTTGTTAGATAATTTAACAAATGCTCATATTATGCTCACAAAAAGCATTTTACTGTACTTCTAATTTGATTTCATGGACCTTGAAGATTAGCAAATGTAATCCCTTGAGGTCATAGATGTTCACACCTTCAGGTCATTTTCCCAAAGACATCAGAGATCATAGTGGAAGAGCCAGAAAATGAGCACTAGGGATGGGCCCCTGTGCGACACTGTCCCTTGTACTGAAAATGCTCCTTTGGTGTTACTTCACTTTCTTCTTTCCCACAAAAGACACTCACCCTCCTCTGAAGTGAAGATTGAGTTCATGTAAACCTGTGAATACAAGCCACGTCCTCCACAGGGTTCTCAGTGTCCTCCAACGCACTGTGCATGCAGAACTGCCATCCCCAGTGCACAGCCAGGCTGCATGCAGATTACAGTGGGCACTACAGAGGCCCAGAGGGGACATTCTGCCTCCACTCTCCTCTCCAGTGTGTGGGCTTAGTTTTCCCCTGGCGTATACACACACACACACACACACACGTATTATATGTAATATGTAATACAATATATTATATGTAAAATATATTGTTCTCTCTTAGACTCAGAGATATTTCATCTGCCTTCATTGACATCTATTAAATTACTGAAGGTCAAGGCTAACCTGCCCAGGCTAGTAGCTATCTGCAGAGGACAGCAGAGTGCCACTTGGAGTTTCTGTTTAAGTAGGGTCAACTACCTTTCAACATTCCAAAGAACTGTCAAGGGTAACAAACTGACAGAAAGGTGATCCTCAACTTCACCCACTCTCCTCCCTCTCCCTGCTTTCAGCTACTCAGCCCCACCAAGGATAATGACATCTCCAAACACCTTAAGAACATTGCAGTAACTTGAAGTTTTTATATAATCACAACTTCCAAGAGGGAGGGGATAGTGAATACAGAGTAAAGATACACTCATGAATAAAGCCATATAGCTTACGCCCACACAAACACATCCTATATATACACCTATAGACCTGTATGTATTAATACATGCACACGTGCTCATGCCTCTGTTTATTGTTAAATTGTTGTGCCTCACATACTTTGGGCATCTTATCAGGAGGGGCCAGTCCCTGGGAAAAGACATCATACTTCATAGAGGGCCAGTGAAAAGGAGGAAGATCTTCAACAAGATAGATGGCTGCAGGCTTAAGCATAGCAGAAATTGCAAGGATGGTGCAGAATCAGGGAGTGTTTCATTGTACTATATATAGGGTCACTCAAGGACAGCACAGGTCAGGACTGGGTTCAGATCTGTTATTCATAGGGTCACGATGAGTCAGACTCAACTTGACCACACCACTCTGGAAGTTGTTGTGGTTGTTTTTTGAGGGTTTTTTTTCACTCTGGAAGTTTTAATACACCAACTGTTCCCTGAGAGAAAAATGAAAAATCTGTACCCATGCGATTTACACCTTCACTAAACCCGCTGGAGGGTCAAGTATAAGTTGGTTCCAACTTAACAACAATGACTGATTTTTACTAGTATAAGATACCTCATTGCTATTTTGATTTGCTAGTGTTCAATAGGGATAGAATAATTGATGGGCAATTCCACAGTCAGCCTTGTTTTGATTGCTGACACTGGAAACAAAGAAGATTTAACAGTAGGACAATGTGTACTTGGTGATAAAAATTAGTCTGAAGATCAAATAATTGAATTTTGTACAACCAATGACTTATTTATTGTAAATTCCTTTTTAAAAAATCCCACATTAACATGACCAAACACATGGACTTCACCTGATGGACTGTGTATGCAAACCAATATAAAATAAAAATTTCTAAAAAGTCAGTCAAGGAATCAGATGGACTACATTTATAGGAAGAATTGATAGAGGAGCTCTGTATCAACAGTCAGAATCAGGCAAAGGGCCAGCTATGGAACAGCCCATTATTTATGCATATGCAAGTTCAAATTGACGTTGAAGAAAATAAAAACAGATCTGAATGAACCAAAATATGACCTTGAGTCTATGCCACCTGGACTTAAAAACCATCTCAAGAAGAGGTTTGATGCATTGAACACTAATAATCAAAGACTAGATGAGTGGTGGGGTGACATCAAAGATATCATCCATGAGGAAAGCAAAATATTATTACAAAGACAGAGGAGAAAGAAAAGACAAAAATGGATGTCAGAAGAGACTCTGAAACTTGCACTAGAATGTCAAGAGGTTGAAACAAAGGAAGAATATGTTCAAGTAAAAGAGTTGAACAGATTTCAAATGAGAGCTCAAGAAGACAAATCTAAGTATTATAATAAATTATACACATGGAGTTAGAGTTAGAAAACTAAAAGGGAAGAAGATGCTTGACATTTCTCAAATAGATAGAATTAAAGAATAAATTCAAGTGAGTTGCAATACTGAAGATTCTATCAGCAAAATCTGAATGATGCAGGAAGCATGGAAAGAAAATGGAAGGAATACACAGAGTCACTGTATCAGAAAGAATTGGTTGACACTGAAACATTTCAGGAAGTAGCATATGATCAAGAACCAATGGTAATGAAGAAGATGAAGCTTCACTGAAGGTATTGGCAAAAAGGAAGTTCACAGTTGTAAAAGGAACAAGGGCCACATTGTTATGTGCTCTCGTGTCGCCTCCAACCCATAGCGACTGTATTTACAGCAGCTCTGAACCCTGCCCTATCCTGAGTCTGTCTCACTAATTCCTACACACCAACCACCATTGGCCTAGTTACTGTATCAATCCACCTCATCCAGGGTCTTCCTCTCTCATGCTGTCCCACCATCCTTCCAAGCAAGATGTTCTTCTCCAAGGGCCACACAAGGGCAGTCATATCTGACCTCCACAAACTCCACAAGGAGAAACTGCCCTCATCAATAGCACCCACAGTACAAAACTAATTCTCATGAAGTCAGACATATTTCCCCCATGCTATCACACCTTTTTGCACTAATTCCAACACCAGTCTTACTATTCTGCTGGATCTGAAATCTATTGCAATATCTAACAGAGCACACAGAACTATACTCACAATTAGGGGGTTTATTAGGGAAGTTAACAGGATAGTATTTCAGTTGGCAGCAGGATACAATTTCTCAGTCAGGACAGCTTCTGAAGTATGCTCACAGGCCCTTTAACCTTTAACCTCACAGGTGTGACAACACTCTTAGTCCAGCTAATTATGGAATCTCCTCACAAACCCTGTCCTACAGCACACCTGGACAAAGGCTCCTAACTCTGGTTCCATGGGGTAGCAGTCTCAAGACTAGCTCTGTCTCGTGTCAGGTCTCCAGTTCTCTACTGCAGCTGCTGCTGCTCTCCTGTAAATCTGGCAGGTGCAAGAATCTCTTGCCTTACAAGGCATACTACATTCTCTGCTGCTGCTTTGCTGGTGATGGTATTCTCTAATTCTGCTGCTGAATCCACCTCAAATTAATGGCAAAACTAATAAATTCCTTAGTGGATAGACTAACACACTCTACTTAAATATATTTCCACTCATCCACATGGCAAAGTCAGTCATTGGCTAGGAAGGCCATTTTGAACAATAAGCCCTTGATATCACAACAGTATACCAACTGATATGTTTCAAGTAACATATGCAGTCCTGGACATGCTCACTAGTCTATGCCAAGAAATTTGAAAGATAGCCACCTGGTCAACTGACTGAAAGAAATCCATATTTGTTCCCATTTCCTCAAAAAAAAGGTGGAATTTATCAAATGATATTATTAATATCTTGTGCAAGTAAAACCTTGCTAAAGATTTTTTTAGTATTATTTTTTTCTGAAGATTATTTTAAAGTGGTTGGAACAGTATATCAACAGGGAACTGCTGAAGTCAAACTGGATTCAAAAAAGGCTGTAGAACAAAGAATTTCATTATTGATGTCAGATGGATCTAGGCTGAAAGTAGAGAATATCAGAAGGGTGTTTATCTGTGTTTTATTGATTATACACAAGCATTTTGCTCTGTAGATAATAACAAATTATGGCCAACATTGAGAAGGATGAGAATTTCAAAATCTTTAATGTGCTTATGTGAAACCTTACCCTAGACCAAGAAACATTTGTCCAAACAGAACAAGGGCCTTATCCTAGACCAAGAAACAGTTGTCCAAACAGAACAAGGGAATATTGCATGGTTTAAAATCAGAAAATGTATATGTCAGGATTGTAGTCTTTCTCCATACATATTCAGTCTGTATGCTGAGCAAATCATTTAAGAAATTGGACTATGTGAAAAAGAATGTGTCATCAGGATTGGAGGAAGACTCATCCACAACCTGAATTATACAGGTAACATATAAAACAAAACAAAAACCAAACCAACCATATCCATGCTTGCAGAAAGTAAGGAGGACTTAGTAACACTTGCTGCTGAAGATCAAAGACTACACTTTTCAATATGGATTACATCTCAACATAAAAAAAAAACACACCCCAAAATCCTCATCTCTGGAGTCAACATTGTCATCTTGTGTAGGTCCACAGTCAACCCCTTTGGTTGGTACCAGCAGTCAAAAAAATCAAAATACGTGTTGCACTGGCATATCTGCTGTCAAGGACCTCTCCAAAGTGCTAAAGAGCAAGGATGTTGGTTTAAAGATGGAGGTGCATCTGATCCAAGCCATGTTAATTTCAGTTACTTCCTATGCATATGAATGTTGGACAGTGACTAAAGATGACAGAGGGAGAACTGATGCCTTTGAATCGTGGTGTTGGAGAAGAGTATTGGATATCCCATGAACTGCCAAAATAATAAACAAATCCAAATCTGTCATGTAGAAGGGTGACCAGAGTGGTCCTCAGACATAAGGATAGTGAAACTGTCTCAACAGCTTTGGACAGCTTAAAAGAAGCTGATCCTCAGAAATAGACATAATACTGAGAAAGGTAAAAGGTCAGAGAAGGTGAGGAAGACCTTCCAAAAGTTAAATTTAACCAGTGAC